GAGGCCCGGGGAATGGAGACTTCACCCCGAAGTGGTGGAGCTCTTGTGCGAAGAGTTCGGCCCAATAGACGTGGATCTGTTTGCGTCTCAAGAGACTACGCACTGCCCGCTATGGTTTCTCTCGTTCCTCCAGCCCCGTTGGGTCTGGACGCCATGGTACATTCGTGGCCGAGGCTACGTCTGTACGCTTTTCCCCCAGTCGCTCTGCTCCCGGGGTTCTGGAGCGGGTCCGCCAGGACTATGTCGGCCTACTGCTCGTAGCCCCGTTCTGGCCAACCCGGGTGTGGTTCTCGGACATCATGTCGCTCCTGGACGGCCCGCCGTGGCGGGTCCCTCTGAGGAGAGACCTGCTGTCCCAGGCGCAGGGCCGGGTTCTTCACCCTTGCCCCGCCATATGGCGACTGTGGGTCTGGCCCCTGAGGGGGCACAGTACCTAGAGGCGGGTCTAACAGCCGGAGCAGTCGAGACCCTCCTGAGCTCCAGGGCCCCGTCCACACGGAGGATGTACGGCCTGAAGTGGAGTGTTTTCTCCACTTGGTGTAGGGAGCGGTCGGTGGACCCTGTTACCTGCCCGGTGGTTCAGGTACTTGAGTTCCTCCAGGACCGGTTCTCTGCTGGTCTTTCCCCTTCCACCCTCAAGGTGTACGTGGCAGCTATTTCATCTTTCCACACCCCTCTGAGGGAGGGGTTCTTGGGGAAACTTCCCTTGGTTGTACTTTTCCTCCGTGGTGCCCGGAGGATGAGACCTGCGACTCGGTCCAAGGTTCCCACTTGGGATCTGGCAGGGGTTCTTGGGGCGTTGGCTGAGGCCCCTTCAAACCCCTGGAGTCAGCTGAGGCTAAGCACTTGACCCTCAAGATGGCCTTTCTCCTTGCTATCACCTCTCTAAGGAGGGTGGGGGAGCTCCAAGCGCTTTCGGTTTCCCCGCAAAGCCTGGAGTTTGCCCCGGGGAATATTAGGGCTATCCTGCACCCTCATTCAGGATACATCCCTAAAGTGCCTTCTTGTGCGGCAGGGTCCACAGTGCTGCAGGCATTTCATCCTCCACCTCATGTGACGGCGGAGGACGGGAGACTTCATCTGCTCTGCCCTGTCAGAGCACTGAGTATTTACACTCTGAGGTCCTCCCGTTGGAGGAAGGCTGACCAGCTGCTAGTGTGTTTTGGGTCTCCCAGGGCCGGGCTCCCTGCATCCAAACATACTATTAGCAACTGGATTGTTCAGACTATTTCCCTGGCCTATCAGGTGCGCGGTTGCCTTCACCTGTGGCTGTGAGGGCTCATTCTACCAGAGGCAAGGCGGCCTCTCGAGCCCTCCTTTCCGGGGCCTCTTGCAGGATGTTGTTTAGCGGCTGGCTGTGCCACTCCGCACACATTCATTCGGTTTTACAGTCTTGACCTTCCTTCGGCACCTGGCACTCGTGCGCTCTCCTCTTAGTAGTGCCACTTTATTGCACACAGGGGCAGGCGGGGTTTTCGGCACGGTTTAGTGGGTATCTCGTTCCCATAGTGTCGTAACCGACGCAGTTCGAGTTCCCTCGAAGGGGAACGTCTCGGGTTACGTATGTAACCCTGGTTCCCCGAGAAGGGGAACGAGAGACTGCGTCGGCCCGCCGCACCTCTCTCCCCGCCTGAAGCGCCTGCTTCATAGTTTAAGCTAATGATGAGTGTGTACAGGTGTGCTTTATACTCCTCTGGTTATTCCGTCACACCTTACCGTTCTAGCAACAGGCCAATAGGATTGGAGTGATTTCATTCACGTTCAGACCTGCTTCGCCTAGAGGCGTTCCCATAGTGTCGTAACCGACGCAGTCTCTCGTTCCCCTTCTCGGGGAACCAGGGTTACATACGTAACCCGAGACGTTCTCCTCAGCGCTATGAAGCAGTTTTAGTGTCTTTCAGCTCATTGTTTTGAATTCCTCTGAAATCTGCAGCAGGCAGCTGTTTTCAGAGGTAGTCACCTAGTCAGAAATGTTTAAATCCTACACATGGGGGCATTTATATCTACTAGACTTAACCAATGCCTTAAATTCAGATGGGTAGCTGTAACCACTCCCAAATACAATACCATATACTTTAAAGCGTGGGTTTGGCTTTTGCTTTTATATAGATAATTACTTGTAGCCATATTTTGTTCAGTTAGGTTGTGGACAGCTTCTAGTTATCCACTTATTATTAGTGAGCAAAATAGTGATATTTGTGCAACATTGATGGTATCAAGCTGTAAAAAACACAAACTATTATGCAGCAAACTTTTCTGGGATAAATGATTGAAGGAAACGCATGACTGCATCTTTGACTGGTAGAGGGGTTATATGAGGTCACTGCATTCATATAAATTTATATATGGAATCATTCCTAAGGCAAACGCTATTTCTGCTCTTAGTGTTATTTATGAATAAGAACTTCTTGTTAATACTGAAATCACCAGACACATTAGCAATCACCACATCTAGTCAAAGTCCCATTTAAGATCTTATTCCATTTACAGTCAAAAAACAATGCCTTCTTTCATTCGACTGTGTACACACAGACAACACAGAAAAAATAATTGCTGAGGTTGACACAAGTGTCAAATAATAAATTAGGTGTTGGCCAGTGACGTCTTTTTTCCCTCACCAAGGTGATTACAGCTGATTGCATACTGAGCCAATAACAAGGCCCAAACCCAGAGAGTCCCCTTCTCCCTCAATGCACTGCTGATCCTCATTCAGCTGTCTGAATGATGTGGTTGGCTTTTGATCCTACGATACAGATATTCTAAGCACCTCAACAAACCACAGGATTAAATCAAGTGTGAAATCAAGGCTGCTTTAAGTCAAATGGTAGCATGATTTGGATATTGATTATAAATTATTATATTATTATTATTATAGTTATTCTACATGATTTGGTAATGGCATGGGCCATGTTGGTAAGACAAGAACGTCCCATCAGTGTTGGGATTTTAGCTTTGAATATGACTGGTAATGTTGTTATAATATAATGGTAAAAATGTTGTGCATAAAGAAATTGGTTTGTTATTAGTAGAACTATCATTGTTGTGGTTACACAATATTGTGGTATTATTTAATGCCATCACTTGACTCAAATTATCTTTCTCATATTATCACAATTCGATGCTTCTTCTCCACCATTGCTCATAATAATAATTCATGCATCACCTAATTTCATCCTAACACAGGCCTGACCTACAAGAATGGACAGTGTATCTATCTAATATTGTGTTGGTCAGACTATACACTGATTTACTGCTTGTCCGTTTTGAATAATACAGAAGGTACAGAGCTTAAAAATGAATCGCATACAATTCACAATATTAGTTTAAAAAAATGCAATTAGAGTATTTTCATATCTACGCTGATGACACACAAATGTACTTGCCCATCAGTTACACAGACCCTGAAATGCTGAGTTCACTTACCGACTGCCTCTATGAAGTTAAAAAATGGATGTCAAATAATTTCCTCCAGCTGAACTCAGACAAAATAGAGATCCTGGTAATTGGGTTCCAGCAGATGACAAATACTGCCATCTGCTGGTTCCCTAGTGAATCACATTAAGCCTGTTCCAAAGAATCTTGGTGTCTGGTTTGGTTTTGTAATTTAGGTTTTGAGCAGCACACCACAAAGATTGTGCAATCATGTTTTTATCAGCTTAGAAATAATCTCATTGTAAAAAAAATCAATCACGCCTTTATTTCATCACGCCTGGATTAATGCAACAGCCTTTTCGCCTGTTTAACCCAAAAATCTATTGATCGACTCCAGACTGTCCAGAACTCAGCTGCCAGGCTTTCAACCAGAACAAAGAAATATGACCACATTACTCCTATTTTAGCTTCATTACACTGGCTCTCAGTATGTTTTAGAATTGACTTTAAAATTAATTGATCACTTTTAAAGCTCTTCATGGCCTCTCATCTTGTTATATTTCTGACCATTTAGTCCCATATGCACCAGCACGTACCTTGAGATCCTCGGGCAGAGGTCTATTGTCTGTTCCAGAGTCTCGACTGAAAACTAAAGGGGACAAAGTGTTTGCAGTCAGGGCCCCGAGGCTCTGGAACAGCCTGCTTATTTGACTTTATTTTATCCTATTTTATTTTATTCTATTTTATATATTTTATATCTATTTTAAACGTGTATTTTAGTCTCTGAAGTGTTTTCTTGCTTTTATCATGTATTTATTTTGTGTTTTATTGTTTTTACACTTGTTAAAGCACTTTGTAACTTTTTGTTTTTGAAAAGTGCTCTACAAATAAAATTTATTATTATTATTATTATTATTATTATTATCGTTCAGCCCTAGCGTAGAGCCAGAGAAAGTGAGCCAGGATGACCCAATGACCCAATACTATGTACTGTAGCTGCGGTACCGGAGGCTGCTGTTTCAGGACCCACGCAATATTGGGACAGTAGTTCTTTTGTGACAGCCCCATCTAGTGGAGTGGTGGTTGGTAATGCACAGCAACACAAAGAAGGTTAACACACAGCTGTAGGGTTAACCAGTTGACATGCATATAATCAATAACTTAGGGTTAGGCACACACTCGTTGATGGTTGTGGTAAGGGTAACTGGCTTCGGGGGGCTGTCAAGAGTAACATATTTAGCCAGCCAGCTAGTTGGCAGTATCAAAGTAAACAAGGGTCCTACAAATGAAGTTCCGGTCCTAGGATCGCGGTCCTGAAACTGCAGCCTCCGGTACTGCAGCACTGCAACACTTTGCTAGGAAAAGCCTGAAGAAATTGCACAGTAGAGTATGTTGCCTGATATGGTTTAGGCTTAGAAATATGATCAGGTGTAGGAATCATTTCAATTCTCACATCTCATAAAGTGCCCCATAAAGAGCAGGAAAACCATCGGGAGTCACAAAAGCATTATATGTATACATAGCATATGGGCTCTAATAAATTGTATTACATGTCCACCCTGGCTAGCATAAGATGTGTCTGAAAGTTATGACTCTCTTACTGATAACGGTCTCTCTCCTGCTCCCAGGAAAACCCTGGAAGGTCCAGAGCAGTGAACAGGAAGTGTTGACCTCTGTCCTTCCTCCAGCTTGCCACTATGGGATCATCCACCTTAGGAAAGGCAGCAACTTTTGATGCACTCTTAAATGAATGCATTCATGCATTTGGTGAGTGAGATGTGATTGAATTTCAACCAAGGTTGGATTACCTACCTGACAAAGCGGGCATAAACTGGGGCCCAAACCACCAAGATAATTGCATTGATTTATTGATTGTAAAGCTTACAGACAGTGACAGGCAAACAAGCAGGTTCCAGTAGAGGCAGGCAAGCATGAGACTGGCAGGTACGTAGGTTCAGGTTGTTTTAAAGTGAAGACAAAGTGCAACTAGACAACATTGCAGCATATTGCAAGTGACATGAGAACAGAGGGAAGTGGACCAGTAAATGTAAGAGTGACTGATAAGGGGACAAGATAAAGGTGAGGAAGTGGGTGGGGAAGGCCAGACAACTGCAGAGCAGATGAAAGAAGTGTAAACAGGTGTGTAGATGTTTGGGTAGCCAGATGAAAAGAACAAAAGTTCAGGGACATCTTGTGAAGGGATGGAAAATGGCAATAAAGGGGCCTGGGAAATTAGGGGGCTGTAGAGGAGGGACATGCAGACAGGCTGTGATACGCTTAAAGGATAAGGCTGGCATTATTCTATATTGTTCTTATTTTAAACAAATCTCATGAAAAGACCAAAACCAACAATACTTTCTGACTTCCCTATCCTGTCGGTAGCTCTCAGCACCAAACATGGCTCACACATATTTAGTTACATTTTTAAAAAGGCTCAGTCATTTCCTAGAACAGCGGCTAAAACCTGAGGTTTTAGCAAACGTTAGCTCTATAAGTTGTATCTAGCTTTGATACACAGACTATATTTGTTAGCAGGAGAGTTCAATGTTGGTTTGAATCTTTTCATCAGATTGGTTGACAAGAGAAAAAAAAAGTATTACCTTTTAAGATAAGTGAGTCAGAAGAACATGATTAGGCTTCCCTCTTGAACATCAATGTAACCTTTTACCTACGGTTTAAATATGGTGACATTTTGTGACTCACTTCTCTTCATAGATGACAGCGGGAAGACGCAGGCCAACCTGCTTCCTCGCACCCTGCTGCTGATGCATCGCTGGTATGTTACATCCTCAGAACTGGCGCGAAAACTCCTGATGATATATCCCATCTGGCAGAATGCCTGCAGGAACTACAGCTAATACACAGGATACGTCAAAATACTGCTGGCTATTGTATTCAAGCTGGCTGATGATATGTACTTTAAAGGGGCTCAATGAAATCACTTATTATTAAGTAAGTAGTAAGTTTTACTACTATTGACAATGGGCTGGAACCTTACTTTTAAATGGGTGGAGATGGTGCAGTGGATAAGACCCATGCCATTGGTGGGAGAGATCTGGGTTTGATTCCCATGGTGACCCATCCACCATTATGTCCATGTGCAAGACACTTTACCTATTGTTGCTCCAGAGGCGCGTGACCTCTGACATAAATAGCAATTGTAAGTTGCTTTGGATAATTACATTACATTAAATGAATTAATATAATGTAAATCAAGCACACACCTGTTTTCTGTGTTGCTTGGAACAGCCACTATTCTGCTGTTAATGCAGTCCACTAACACCACAAAACGAACGATTTCCGGCAAGACAGATTCCAACATTAGGTCCACTTAGGATACAAAACAACAATAAAGGTTTATGTGCTGAAGCCTGTCAGACCAAACAAGAATCAAATGATGTCGGGTGAAACTTTACATGTTAAAGTGGAAATAAAACATGTAAAAAATATCGATATCGGCAATACCAGCACTGGTCTTACTTAGTATCGGATCGGAACGTAAGTGGTATCGCACATCACTACTGCGGTCTAACTGTTATAAAGTGTGACAACAATCTCATTTATAATAATCAGTCCAGCTCACTAACTGTTTCATTATCATCTAATACATTTAGCTGTGTTGACATTGCTGAAAGATACACAGATAGTACAAATGTTGTTTACTGAAAGCAGCAGGCGAGCTAACGCTGCAGTATCATGTCGGCTAAATGCAGTAAATGTACCGTTATCATGTAATGAGCATGGATTAGTTCAACCTCAAGCTGATAAAACTATTACTGTAACGTTGCAGTAGGGGTTTACCTGAGTTTCCAGCATGTTGTGTGAAGCTGCCTCCCTGTCTGTCTATTGCCGCAGTCACTCTGTCTTTTTTTCCGGGAGTATTCCGCCTAACTGCGTCTCGCTGCGCTGAATGCAACGTTGGTAGAAACAGAGCCTGAACATGAAAGGCCACAACCAGCGTGTTGGTGTTTCCGCTTTAGTTGTGGGATCTCTATATGAAAGCGGTTGTGTTTCGGATTATGGTCAGTCATGAGTTCAAGCCTATGGTTCAAGCACGAGTACGAGTGCACACCTGGTTGCAATCTTAAAACCACATGGCTAGTAGCCACTGAAAACTACATAATGCCTTAGATAAATTATTCCTTACCTTACAGGAAATCCAACCTAAATATTTCATTTTGCTAATGGAATTCTAATCAATCCCATAAGAAAGCATTGCAGATGATTTTTCATTTCATTTCAGTGACTGTCCTTCCCTACACTTTTTCTCTTGTTGTGTACTGTTTGTTAATGTCCAATGAGCAGTATTGATCCAGAAATGAGTTTAATGGAGCGGTAGTAAGGAAAGTGAGGAGGAAGGGAGAGCTCACTCTGTTTACTGAACACTTCACTTAGGTCATGATACAGGTCAGGGGGTCCAACAGTGAGTGGGGAGCCAGTGGCCTAGCCAGATTGCAGAGATGATGGCAAAAGGAACTCCAGCAACAGTTTACCAGTGGACTAGTCTGCAGGGGGATTGTCTTTAACCAAGGGTGACCTAAGACTACGGGGGAAAGAGGGGAAGAGAATAGGTGCAACTTCATTTAGTCTTAATGGTTGCTTGAGAGAGATGTAAAGGTTTGGTGCAGTGAGCGACTTGGGGAAGGAGCCTACTATTAAGAGGGTTAAAATTTAGGGGAGTTTCCAGGGGTTCAAGACTGCTGATCACAACAAAACTGAAATTGCATTCTGGGTCAGGGGTTTAAAAAGGAGAGTTTGGCACATCATAACCCGCACCGCAACTGGTAAGCTTCCTTTTTTTGGTTGGTGGGCACAGGTGGCTTGTAGTCTTGCCAGGTGTGTGGGTGCAGCTTAGTCAGTAACCAGGAGAGTGAAGAAGGGATAGTTGTGCCCATGCCAACAGACTCACAAGCAATGACAAACACAAAGCGACAGGCGGGAAGACTGGAAACACGGAAGGGAAAAAACACAAGGAGACACTAGGAAAATGCTTCAGCACTGTTACAATTAATGTTTTTGGAAGGACAATCTTACATTTGTGCATGATATGGACATAGAAGACCAGAGCAGGAAGCAACAGCAAAAAGAGTGTTTATACTTGTTTTGAATGGACACAGTCATCGGTGGGGCCAAAAGACTGCATCTAGAGAAAGAGGAAAGATACAACGAATCATGAATGATGAATGATGAATGATGTGGAGAGACTAGCTTCCTGTTTTCCAGCCACAGACAGCAGCCAATGAATACCTTAAGTGTGATTGATTATTATGTGCAGATGTATCATGCATTACATTGTACTACTTTGTCAAACCTTGGAAAAAGTCCTTAACTTAATCCCACGTACCGTGACTGCAACGATGACAACTGCAGGAGAACCAGGCTGAAGATTTGTTATTTAATGAGGTGAGGTGCAACATATACATTCATCCATCCCTACACATCAACACCTTTCAATAGTAATAGTAATTTCTCAGCCTCTGGGAAATCTAAATCAAGACCACAGAAAATCAAAGGCTTACTTAATCTCATTTCACCTGATGTTGCACTTTATTTCTTGTGGTTATTAACCCAGAGCTTACAGTTTCACATACAATTGCAGTTTATACAGTTTCAACCAAGTCCAGCTGCCCTTGATTTTAACCTTCTTTGGATACAGTTTCAAGGTTTCACACATTGTTTGTGTCTTGTTCAAGGAACACTGATTTGCTTTTGTTTAAACATTGATCCAAAACCTGTGACTAACCCTGTGTTTTAAGAACACTTCTCAGTGGGATCACCCCACTGAGAACCATACCACCACAATACAGGGACATGAGTCACAAGCCACAAGGTCACAAGTGTCATTGTGTGGCTCAGTGAAAAGTTATTTAGAGCTAAAATTAGACGTTTTCCATTTATCATGTCACCATTTTCATTGTCTAAATATTATATTGTTGAAATCTATGTGTTCAGGTACTGGATAGTGACATTCCCTGCAGAGTTCAATCTGGACCTGGGTCTGATCCGGATAACAGAAGAGTTCAGAGATGTTGCTGCTCAGCTCGGCTGTGAGGAGCATTTAAAGCTCCTCGACATCTCTACCATGTAAGACATAAAGAGCATACAGATCCACTTTGGACTAACTATTGAATGGATCAGTATTAGTAAGTATATTAACTGTGCCAGCAATTTAGTCCTCACTCTCGCCCTAAAGTACAACTAATCCCAATTCTATTCTTCACCCTGGTAAGACATCTCTAAGTATACATAAGCCCAGTTTTTCTTGTTTTGATTGAAAACCTACGTATAATTCATAAAGTTTTCACTTTGTAGTCCATCATACGACTGGATGCGTAAGCTGACCCAGCGGAAGAAGCAGGCCAAGAAAGGCAAGGCCTCGCTGCTGTTTGACCACCTGGAGCCCATGGAGCTGGCCGAGCATCTCACTTTCCTGGAGTTCAAGTCAATCCGAAGGATATCGGTATGTCTACAAACAGCTCTGCTTCTGTCCAATGATTTTTTTTGCCATGCTGGTCAGTCATTTGGTCTCTCAATCAAGGTGTCCAGGATCCGGACCACACCTCTCTCTCTCATAATTCAACTACCTGTGCCTCATTCAATTCCTCAACTTCCTGATCCAAGCACATAAGCTCGTCCAACCCCTTTCACTCTTGTTTGTCTCAGTTCTCACCCCTCCTTTCTTTACTCTCTCAATGGGCAGCACGGTGGCCCAATGGACAACACTGTGGCCTCACAGCAAGAAGCTCCCAGGTTCAAACTTCGGTCGTCCCAGGCCTCTGTGTGGAGTTTGAATGTTCTCCCCGTGCTTGCATGGCTTTCCGCCAGTGCTCTGATTTTCTCCCACTGTGAAAGACATGCATGCTAGCATAGACCACACATAGAAAAACAACCAGCCTGCTTTAGGGGCCTTAAAGGACCCTAAAGACCCCTGAAGATTAGATTAAAAATTGAGAGCTCGGTATCTGACCTGTATTTCCCTTTTGTCCCCAGTTCACTGATTACCAGAGCTATGTTATCAATGGCTGCGTGGTGGACAACCCGACTCTTGAGCGCTCTATTGCACTGTTCAACGGAGTCTCACAATGGGTCCAGCTCATGGTGCTCAGCAAGCTAACACCTCAGACCCGTGCAGAGGTTATTACCAAATACATCCATGTAGCTCAGGTAAGGCAAGAGGCCACTAAGCAATTCAGTGTTTTCAGGGGTTGTTTTTGTTCAGAAAACATAAGAATGACTTGGCTGGCATTCTATTCATCTTACTTTATATTCGAAACTCAAATTACCACTTGAACATGGGAAACATGTATACAATTTTTTAATGTTAATAATAATAATTTTTAAATTTAGTTGTGGCTATGTTGCAAAGGTATCTGTACTTTTCAACCCAGACTTAATAAATCGTGCATTGATGAAACTAACGTCTGTGTTGCAGCTTCTTATTGAGGTCAAATGGAGTTTGTCCAATCAGGAGAATAACTGTCCCACACAGTATTATCCATATAATGTTTTAACAATTGTTTAAGACAATGTTGACAAAGGTCCAGAGGGGCCGAAACATTAGTTTGATCAAATTGTGATGCAGAGCAAGAGCAGAGTGTAGGATCTTTTTTTCTCCAAACAAGTGATACCCGCCTCCAACACACCTGCATCTGAGGTAGTTGGATGTGCAAATCTCTTGTTAGAGAAAAGCACATTCTTGCATTTATAGTGATAACTGCATTCAATAACACAAGCCTTAATCATCATGTAATCGTATACTGTAGCCATTTCTCTTTATGATGCCTTACATTTCTGTGGTGATATAGACATTTTATCCAAAGTAAATGTTGATAATAGTTTCTAAAAGTAAGTCATTTTTGTTTTTGTTTTATATTCGGATAATATTTCAGGAAGCCAAGTTGTCGACGTCCATTCATAAACATGAATGGGAGTTCTCCTTCTGTCAATGAAGCAGTATCAATATTCATTGTAGGTTTGTAGATGTTGTTTGTAATTTTGTTTCTTCATCTTATGAGAAAGCTAGAGCGTCTCCATTACTCCTCCATCAGTACTGAGAGGAATTCATCAGTGTCCTAATGACTCTCTCAGTGATTCTGTTTCCTATCAGAGTAGAGACTGTCTGCAGACAAGCTCAAGGATGAAATCATGTAACACACTGCCCTCAGCTGTAGGAGTGCATGGAATATTTTGGATTGACTATTTAATCAGTTAGAATGGCTGTCAGTATCAATATTGCTGCATTATATTAGCCTTCTCAGTTGTATGTCTTATCATCCTGGCTTCTACTTATATCGGGTACAAGGTAGATTTACTTAACATTTAAATGTACAGGGTTGTATAATGAGATTATGCTGTAGTTCCCTTTATACTACTCACATAAAGTTATAAAGTTATAAAATATACACACTAGATAGGCCACTAAATAACAAGTCATAAATGTAAATAAACTATTTTGCAGGGTGCAGTGCAGATGGATTAATTAAGAAGACTCAGCCTTGGGAAAGAGGTTGCTCTGCAGTCTGGATGCAAACGGATATTAAATTCGAGATTTTAATAGAAGAAATGGAAGAGATCTCATCGTTGTATGTTTTCATTAATGTCTTGCTTATTGCTTTTAAAAAGTGGTTAGGAGCACTAGGGAGAAGTTAGTGCGCTTGATTGTTTTGCATTATGGTCTATGCCTGGAGAACTTTACTGGAGGCTTGTCCTGAGCTGGTTCCCCTTTGAGGGAACTCGAACTGCGTCGGTTACGACACTATGGGAACGCCTCTAGGCGTAGCAGGTCTGAACGTGAATGAAATCACTCCAATCCTATTGGCTTGTTGCTAGAACGGTAAGGTGTGACGGAATAACCAGAGGAGTATAAAGCACACCTGTACACACTCATCATTAGCTTAAACTATGAAGCAGGCGCTCTGTATGTTGTTTGAAGAAAGCTCCAGTCCTACAAGCAGTGTGTCTTACCTGAAGAAGAAGTCTACCAGCATGTCCGGCAACCAGAAGGTGTGTTTTTTTTCTTGCCCTCGGTACATCACGGATGGAGATTCTCATGAGATGTGTGTCTCATGTTTGAGGATGGAGCACGCCCGGGCAGCTCTCGAGGGGGCTGCCTGCGCCCGTTGCGAAGCCCTTTCCGTGCGGGTACTGAGGTACAGCATGGCTCTCTTTTCCGAGGATGGCCGGATATGTTCTCCCCGTGGTGCGGGCCCTGCGGCCGCTGAGGCGGCCCGGCGGCTTCACTCATGGGGTTCACAGCGTGATCTGTCGGAGGATTTCGGGACGGCTGAGGCTTTTTTCCGACCTTCATCCGCTGGCTCCGACGCTTCCTTTCCCTCGTTCGGGAGCCCGTTCTCGGCTTCTCTCGCTCGTGGTTTGGATCCGGAGACGCTGCAGCAATCCGACTCCGAGGAGGCGGACGTGCTCAGTGTAGTGGACGATGACTTCCGGGTGTCGGGGCGGCGTCATTTGGCGGCGACCGACTATGACGTGCTGCTGAGGCTCAACGCAAAGAAGAGTATGCTGGCGCCCACCCAACGGACTACGTTCCTAGGGGTAGTATGGCCGGCACGTGTCGACACCATATTGGCTGCCGTGAAAGGGGTGAAGTTAGGCCACGCCATCACTATAAAACACTTTCAACGAGTGTTGGGTCTCCTGGTGGCTGCGTCCAGCGTAATACCATCTGGACTGCTGCACATGAGACCCCTGCAGTGGTGGCTAAGGACCAAGGGTTTTTCCCCGAGGGGAAATCCTCTCCGTCTGATTTGGGTTACGCGCAAGTGTCTTCGTTCCTTATCAGTTTGGAAGGAAACTTGGTTCCTGTCCCAGGGGCCCGTGCTGGGAGGGTCTTGTCGCCGGCTGGTCATTTCGATAGACGGGCTGGGGCACGGTCATGGACGGCCGCTTTGCAAGGGGATCCTGGCAGGTGTATCAATCCGAGTGGCATATCAACTGTCTCGAGATGTTGGCGGTGTTCCAGGCTCTAAGGAGTTTCCTGCCCGATCTCCAAGGCCACCACGTCCCGGTTCGTTCTGACAACACAACGGTGGTGGCCAATCTGAATCACCAGGGCGGTCTGCGCTCGCGCCCTCTGTACAGACTGGCGCGTCAGATCCTCCTGTGGTCCCAGCAGAGGTTACTATCGCTCAGGGCGATGTATCTCCCGGGGACGCAGAATCCGGGAGCAGACCGGCTGTCGAGGCAGGGGCTGAGGCCCGGGGAATGGAGACTTCACCCCGAAGTGGTGGAGCTCTTGTGCGAAGAGTTCGGCTGTGGGTCTGGCCCCTGAGGGGACACAGTACCTAGAGGCGGGTCTAACAGCCGGAGCAGTCGAGACCCTCCTCAGCTCCAGGGCCCCGTCCACACAGATCCTCCGTGGTGCCCGGAGGATGAGACCTGCGACTCGGTCCAAGGTTCCCACTTGGGATCTGGCGGTGGTTCTTGGGGCGTTGGCTGAGGCCCCCTTCGAACCCCTGGAGTCAGCTGAGGCTAAGCACTTGACCCTCAAGATGGCCTTTCTCCTTGCTCCGTGCAACCTCTCTGAGGAGGGTGGGGTATCTCCAAGCGCTTTCGGTTTCCCCGCAAGCCTGAAGTTTGCCCCGGGGAATATTAGGGCTATCCTGCACCCTCGTCCAGGATACATTCCTAAAGTGCCTTCTTGTGCGGCAGGGTCCACAGTGCTGCAGGCATTCATCCTCCACCTCATGTGACGGCGGAGGACGGGAGACTTCATCTGCTCTGCTCTGTCAGAGCACTGAGTATTTACACTCTGATGTCCTCCCGCTGGAGGAAGGCTGACCAGCTGCTAGTGTGTTTTGGGTCCCCCAGGGCTGGGCTCCCTGCATCCAAACATACTATTAGCAACTGGATTGTGCAGACTATTTCCCTGGCCTATCAGGTGCGCGGTTTGCCTTCACCTGTGGCTGTGAGGGCTCATTCTACCAGAGGCATGGCGGCCTCTCGAGCCCTCCTTTCCGGGGCCTCTTTGCAGGATGTTTGTTAGCAGCTGGCTGGGCCACTCCGCACACATTCATTCGGTTTTACAGTCTTGACCTTCCTTCGGCACCTGGCACTCGTGCGCTCTCCTCTTAGTCGTGCCACTTTATTGCACACTGGGGCAGGCGGGGTTTCGGCACGGTTTAGTGGGTATCTCGTTCCCATAGTGTCGTAACCGACGCAGTTCGAGTTCCCTCGAAGGGGAACGTCTCGGGTTACGAGACACTGCGTCGGCCCGCTGCACCTCTCTCCCCGCCTGAAGTGCCTGCTTCATAGTTTAAGCTAATGATGAGTGTGTACAGGTGTGCTTTATACTCCTCCGGTTATTCCGTCACACCTTACCGTTCTAGCAACAAGCCAATAGGATTGGAGTGATTTCTTTCACGTTCAGACCTGCTACGCCTAGAGGCGTTCCCATAGTGTCGTAACCGACGCAGTGTCTCGTTCCCCTTCTCGGGGAACCAGGGTTACATACGTAACCCGAGACGATTTGAACCCCGGCCTTGCTGTTCAAAGGGGCTACAGTACCATCCAGCTACAATTAACAGTGAAGAACTGGTTGTCTTTAAATATAGTAAAATTTTCCTTTACTAAAAAGAGGATACCATATCCACAATTAAAGTCAACTCAAGTAAAGGTATAAAAGGATTCCATAGTGAATGTACTTAAGTTTCAAGTAAATGTGCGTGCATTCAGTCCTTAATGAATTAATCTCTAAACATCATGTCAAAGTGGTGGCTGTTCCAGTTATGCTGGCTGTGACCATCTTAACATACTGGAAAACATAATATTTGTAAGTGCATTATTGTCATAGACAAAATTTATTTTATTCTTCTTCTCAGTAACAGAACTTAGATAAACAGCAAAAATACATTTAAAATCAGGGGAATAAAAGTAGAAAATACTAAAAATGTCCCTCAATATTTGACTAAAATATCTTTATTTTTCACCCCTAAGTGGGATCACCAAGACAAAACTGACACATGTCTTGGAGCTTTTTTTCTTTTTCACAGGTGAGTTACATGCTCCTGTGGTCACAATGAGAAAACTGAGACATATTTGAGAAGAATCATGAAATCCCAGGTGTCATAGCTGAGTTTTCTTTGAGATTAGTGTCTGATCTAATGGTCCCATGTGCTTGAATTAGACTTTTTGAAGATAATTTAAAGATCTCTTGTTTTGATCAGAGTAAGATATAAATAAGTTTTGTATATGGTGATTTCTTAAAAGTAGCTCATTTGTGTCTAGGAGAAATGAAAGAAACAACTGTGAGATCTCTTCTTGGATTTTGCTTTCCTATGTGTGAAGTCATCCGAGACCTCACCTCACTTATATCACTGATGCTTGGTCGATGGGTACCAATGACCCAAAGTCTTAATCATTCACTGCAGAGCCCTCCGGTCCAGTGCCGGGCACATCCCATGCAGTTGGTTATGTTTCCAGTCAGGATGCTTTCTATTGCTCCTCTGTAAAAGCTGACAAGAACTTGCTGTGAAAAGTTTTCCTCCTTAAGAAATGCAGCTGCTGAGCTTTCTTTACTAGGGTGGAGTTATGAGATGACCATGTCAGGTTCTCTGTGAAGCTGATTCAAGGAATCCACCTAACCCTGCAAGACTGTCGATATCCCAACCCAATATAATAATAATAAGTCTCATCGTTGTTTGAAATCCGGCCGATGATGGTGGTGTTGTCTTCAAGGGGGGTGAATAATTTTGCACGCCCAATTTTTCAGTTTTTTATTTGTTAAAAAAGTTTGAAATATCCAATAAATTTCGTTCCACTTCATGATTGTGTCCCACTTGTTGTTGGTTCTTCACAAAAAATTGCAGTTTTATATCTTTATGTTTGAAGTCTGCAATGTGGCAAAAGGTCGAAAAGTTCAAGGGGGCCAAATACTTTCGCAAGGCACTGTACAAGGCAGATTTATCATTAATCATTTTACGACACTGGGTTGTATAACGACATGTACACAATAAATATAGGAAATGTGAATAGTCTTTGGCGATTTGGCGATGAGACCACATCCTGTGCTATGTTTTTTTGTGCAATATCTTACAGCACAAGCAGAATATGTTTGATTAGATAAACAGTAAAGAAGCAAAAGTGACATTTTTGACATGTCATTGTCTGTCATCAGAAACTTCTGCAGCTACAGAACTTCAACACTCTGATGGCAGTGGTGGGGGGACTGAGCCACAGCTCCATTTCTCGACTAAAGGAGACACACCCATATCTGGCTCCAGAAGTTGTTAAGGTATGTCAATTCCAGCCTTTTAATGCACTTTTATGTCCTGTATATCCGCAAACAAGTATTCCTACAGCATATGTAACATACATTTATCCGTAGCTTACTTAACTTCCAATTTGTATCTTGGTATCAATTTAAAAAGTGTATTGATCTATTAAAGTGATAGTCAACCCGGACTGTATCTTTTTTATCACAGACACATCACCTGACAGCCTCAAATCTGGCTGTCAGAACTTGGTTCCTCCACAAAGAACAGTGGTTGTAATTGGCTTGAACAGATCAAATGTACTCTGGAACAACTTTTCACAGTGAACAAAGTATCAAAACATCCAAATTCTAAGTCCAGTTCTGCAGGACCTTTTCTGCTGTCAGTTGAAAGCTCAGTATGTTCACAGTGAATTTTTAGTCAGACACTAGTGCAATTCATTTGTGGTGTAAAAGGAGAAGCTCCCAAAAATAAGGGACATGTCAGTCATTTAAGACTTTGAAGTATTTGATTTAAGAGTTATTGGCTAGCATAACACAACAATTTTCTTTATATTGGAATCATAATTTCAATGTTCAATGCAAGTGAATTTAAGTGGGATGAAATAACTTCTGTTATGAATTGGTGCTATTTAAATAAAACTGAACTGAATTAAAAGCAACAAATGAAATTAGACATGACACATGCATTGCTCTACCTGAACAAGTCTGTGTTTTGGCCATCACACTTACCCAAATATTTCTCTCCCTGCTGCAGATCTGGAGCGAGATGACAGAGCTGGTCTCTTCGAACAACAACTACTCCTGCTACCGAAAGGCCTTCTTTGACTGCCAGGGCTTTAAAATCCCCATCCTTGGTGTGCACCTCAAGGATCTGATTGCAGTGCATGTAGTCTTTCCAGACTGGGTTGATGACAGTAATAAGGTGAACTTAGTGAAGATGCATCAGCTCTACATGACCTTCAATGAGTTGGTGTCGCTGCAAAGTGCAGCGGCCCAAGTGGAACCAAACATGGACCTCATCTATCTGTTAACGGTGAGGGATCACCACTCCACAGGTAGTATCCTAAAGCCTGAAGGTTTATTAAAATCACTGGTCTAAAGTTCAATTCAATTTTATTTATATAGCGCCAAATCACAACAACAGTTATCTCACAGCGCTTTTCATAAAAGAGCAGGTCTAGACCGTACTAGGCGACAGAGGCAAGGAAAAACTTCCTTTTAAGAGGCAGAAACCTCGAGCAGAACCATGGCTCAGGGTGGGCGGCCATCTGCCTCCACCGGTTGGGGTGAAGGAGAGAGAGAGAGAGAGAGAGAGAGGGGGGTGGAAGGGGAGGGAGGCAGCCCACACAATATACACACAGAGGTACAGACAGTAAAGGTGATGTTGCTATAGACTAAATGAAAAATGGTACAGATATTTATAGTAGTGTGAATGATAATAATCGTAATGTTAATGATTATAATAACAATAATAACAATAGGACTAGTAACAATAGTTGTAGCAGAGGGTGTCAAGCAGGAACACGGGGGCAGCAGGTGACCCGCAGCCACAGATCCAGACTCCACAGCTCCAGAGCCAGAAAACCTGCAGGAAGTGATAGGAGGAGAGAGGAGAGGGACGAGAAAGCACAAGACTACGGGAAAGGGGAGAAGTCGAGTTAGTAACATGCAATAATGGGATGAGGTTGCATAAGGAGGGAGAGAAAATAGAGGAGAGAGGAGCTCAGTGCATCATGGGAAATCCCCCGGCAGTCTAGGCCTATAGCAGCATAACTAAGGGATGGTTCAGGACTACCTGAGCCAGCCCTAACTATAAGCTTTATCAAAGAGGAAAGTCTTAAGCCTACTCTTAAATGTGGAGATGGTGTCTGCCTCCTGAACCCAAACTGGAACCTGGTTCCACAGGAGAGGAGCTTGATAGCTGAACGCTCTGGCTCCCAGTCTACTTTTGGAGACTCTAGGAACCACAAGTAACCCTGCATTCTGGGAGCGCAGTGCTCTGGTGGGGTAGTAAGGTACTATGAGCTCTTTAAGATAAGATGGTGCCTGACCATTAAGAGCTTTGTAGGTAAGAAGAATGATTTTAAATTCTATTCTGGATTTTACTGGAAGCCAATGCAAAGAAGCTAAAACAAGAGAAATATGATCTCTTTTCCTGGTTCCTGTCAGAACACGTGCTGCAGCATTCTGGATCAGCTGAAGAGTCTTAATGGACTTTTTCGAGCAGCCTGATAATAAGGAATTGCAGTAATCCAGCCTAGAAGTAACAAATGCATGGACTACTTTTTCTGCATCATTTTTAGACAGGATGTTCCTGATTTTCGCAATATTACAGTGGTCGGATAAAGAGGGATTCTGTGGGAACACTATTAAATGTTCAATTTCAATACCATACACCAAAACAAGGTCGAGGGTGTGGTTAAAACAGTGAGTCGGTTCATGAACACTCTGAGAGAAGCCAATGGAATCTAACAGAGAGATAAACGCAGTACTAAAGCTGTCATTCTCAACGTCCACATGAATATTAAAATCCCCTACAATAATAACTTTGTCCGTTTTAAGGACTAAAGTTGACAAAAACTCTGCAAATTCAGATAAGAATTCAGAATACGGGCCAGGTGTTCGGTACACTATAACAAAAAGAATTGGTTGCAGTGATTTCCAACTTGGGTGCGAAAGACTAAGAACAAGACTTTCAAATGAGTTATAGTTTAGTTTAGGTTTAGAGCTGATTAGTAGGCTAGAGTCGAAGATAGCTGCAACTCCACCTCCTCGGCCTGTGCCTCGAGGAATGTGAGTATTAATATGACTGGGAGGGGTGGATTCATTTAGGCTAACATATTCTCCATCACCCAGCCAGGTTTCAGTAAGACCAAATAAATCAATATCATAATCTGATATTAGTTCATTTACTAGTACAGCTTTAGAAGAGAGAGATCTGATGTTTAAGAGTCCACATTTAACTCTCCTATTCGTTTGCACTATTGCTCTTGTGGTTTTAATTTTTATGAGGTTTTTATACACAGCTCCTCTTCTGTTTACCTTTTTAAATAATTTCGATGGTCGGGGGGCAGACACCGTCACTATAGGATTTTCACTAAGTAACTCCTGAAATGGAGGAGCGGAGAAGTGTGTTAGACTGCGACTCTGCCTCCTGGTCTCAACTCTGGGTTGTCATGGATTTGGTCCACTAATAAACTTGGCCAGATTTCTAGAAATGAGAGCTGCTCCTTCCCAAGTGGGATGGATGCCGTCTCTCCGAATCAGACCAGGTCTTCCCCAGAAAGTCTGCCAATGATCTACAAAGAGCACATTGTTTGCTCGAAAGTGTTAGCACAAAGAAGGAAAAAAAAACAAAAAAGATGAAGTATTCATCTTTTTCTTTTTCTTGAAAACATTTTTTTTTTAGGAATTGCTATTTTCCACACAACTTGCTTCTTCTTGCCGCTTTGTGTCTCTTTTGTTTCTGCTCTTTATGGATCTATTTCGACTTCACTCAGACCATCAGCATGGTCTTACCTTGAATGATGCCATCCTTCTACCTAGACCATATGTCAACAAAGTCATGTGACTTGGCATGGCTCACCACCTATAATCTGGGTGAACATGCTTCTTCCACTTTGCCTTACTCGCTTCATCCGAGAGAAGTAAGTGTTCCATGAACTCCACTATAAACAATCCGACACTCCACTGCAGCTGCCACAGGACCTTGTTGTTCGCAGTGAGTGGGAGTTTTGTTTTCAACCCTCCCTCGTCCATTTGTGAGTGGTAGTTTTTACATCCCATTTAGGACCTATTCATGATTTTTCCTCAGTACTGAGGTCCATTTACTTTTCTGACATTGAATTCATTCATCTAAGTTTATTATTGTCCTGGAAACACCATTGTGGTGCTATTTGTGTTGTTGTTATTCCGTGTTTGCAGTGGGCATACTTTAATTTGATAAATTTTTGGTCAGAAGCCCAGTTGGTGAATGCCCCCCCACCCCCCTTCTTGTTTGGGGGTGGCACATTTTATGGGGGATATTAAAAACCCATGCTCAGATGTGTGCACACTCCTGATCATGGGGAATCTGCTTGTAAGAGGCTGTGTAGTCCAACTGCTAATTCAGGAGACCAAGCACAGCAAGATTACACCCAGCAAGACAGCTAGTCTTTCAGACAGAGTGGGTGAAATCTAGGCTCAGTGTCTCTGGCAAAGTCACAGAGCTACACGATCAAAGTGTGTCCTCTTATGACGGGCTGCCATCACATCAGGAAGAAAAGCTGGTTCTACTGGATGTCCTTTCATTATATGCACATGACTCCCAATCTGAAAGTGACAGGCTATCGGTGGACAATGTGAAGGAAGCGAGACTTGATTCCTCACAGTGTGAGGTAGAGTCAGGTCATGTCAGCACAGGGGAAAATGACCTGAGCTACTGATAGTGTGTGAAATATTTTGAGTGCAGCCATAATTATGGGGATTAGCATGTTGGCTGTCTGGGCTGGTATTTTCCTGTCCCATCACTCGGTTTCTGTTCCAGAGACTGGGCTGGCGGATATGGTAGTCGAAAGGGAAAGGGCGGCTCGGATGTCCAACCCCTCGTGCCCAGTGAAGAAATTTCACTAGAAATGTGTCGGATTTACAATGCGGCTCCAAGAGCGGCTTGCTTGGGTAACGCTTTAGCTATTTTGTTGGCAGCTATTACACTGTGGGTCCTGAAGATCATAACAACATGGCCTTAATTGACTGAGCCCTTATAGCTCATGCCCAGCTTACAAGGGACTTTGGTGCCACCAGACAGAGTTGGCTGGCACAGACCTCCATACTGGAGAATATCAGAAATATACCTCACTAACATATCTGTAGTGCCTGGCAGTGTTTCATCCAGACTCTCAGAGTATAGGATAGGTTTGCAGCACAAAAGAATGTATTCAGCACACATTCAGCAGAGCAGGTGGTACCTGGAATAGACCCAGGGGCTCTCAGCCCCCACACCAGTCTTCGTGGTCTTGGAGGATTTGACAGGCGGCCTGGTACAGAATTTGTAGCCTCAGATAGAGGAGTAAAACACTACAGCGTCAACTAGGGTACCAGCCACGCTCTTACCCCAAGGGGCCACCCCAATGAAGATATCCCCCTAGAGGTTCAGGACCTCAGAAGAACATCAGCTAGGGCTGGGGGGCCGACCACCAAAGCTGTTTTCCAGCCACGCCTGGAAAGTTGGAAAATATGAACGTCAGACCAGTGACTTGTGGCTACTGTGGCAAAATGGAGACAGAATCCAGTTTCTGCAGCGTCCCCCTTACCTTTTCCAGGGTCCGTATGGATACAAAACATATTTTGGAATCCATCGAGAGAAGGGAGTGGTTCACTTCCCTAGAGTTAAAGGACACATACTTTCATGTCTCCATTTGCCCAGACCACAGAGCGTTTCTGCAGTTTAGGGTCCTCCCATTTGGCCTTTCTCTCTCACCTGGGTAGTAATGGCTGCTCTATCCCCCCTTCAAAAATTCGACTTGAAGATCCTGAAGGCTAATCTGCGCCCTGCAGTCAGGCTGTGCTGGACACAATGAAGGTCATATACAAGCCTTAGGGTTCAAGTTCAATATGGAAAAATCTCAACCCGAAGCAGCACACAATGTTTGTGCGTCTATGCGTGAATTCCCTTACAGTGTCAGCTTCCCTCTGCCCTCAGAGGGTTGGGACTTTTAACCTGGTTGAACAGTTTCATCTAGGCAGGCAGCTAGTAATGGCTCAATTTCAGACGTGGTTGGGTATGCAGAGGAGGTTGAATGGCTTTTATTGTTATTTGTTTTAGATGTACTTACTGGTTGAGGCAGCCTCTACATATATTAGGACTTTGTTCATAATAAGGGTATAAATATTGTATAAATGTATAAATAAAGTGTTGAGAAAGAAAGTGAAAATTGAAAATTGCTCTACAGTATACAGCTCTGTGGGTTGCAAGGAGCACCAAATCACTGTACTACACTGTCCACACTTGTGATGTGATTTGTCACAAATATTCAATAGTCTAAAACATTACATGAAAGTGTACTATGCTTTCAATTGTTCATTGATTTTAAAACTAATTATATCCAAAATATTTGTATTTTCAGCTTTCTTTAGATCTTTATTACACAGAAGATGAGATTTATGAGTTGTCATTGCTAAGGGAACCACGTAACCCCAAATCACTGGTAAGTTTCAGCAGAAATGGTTTGTATTTGTTTTTTTTATTGTTGTGTTTTGTGTTCAGGCTTGTCCACACTGAGTATGTCCAGTTTCAAAAAACTTGATATTTCGTCTGAAAGGTTAAAGATCCTTTTGTCCTGTATCATAATACTTCTTTTTGACGACTTACAAATATTTTAACCTGTGCTGTCATTCAGCATTCAGGGCAAGAAAATATTACCTTTTTAATCTGTAGTCCTGGTATAACAGAGTATTTGCTGATCCAAGTCCTGTGTATGTGTACTGTATGTTTCTTTACAGCCTACCTCTCCAACAACTCCCAACAAGCCCCTGGCCCCACTGGACTGGGCTTCTGGTGTCACCACCAAACCAGACCCTTCTGTGGTCAATAAACACATCAGGAAGTTGGTGGATGTGAGTAGACAACATCCATTTTCAGAGTATGCCTCCACAATATAGAAAACTGCTACTGGTAGGACATATGTTGAGGTATGTGTGAAATATCTTTGAAATTATTTTTCTTGTCATTGGGAAGTCTGTATTTAGGAATTATGACCATGACCATGATGGCTATATTTCTCAAGAGGACTTTGAGAGCATCGCTGCTAACTTTCCTTTCCTGGACTCCTTCTGTGTTTTGGACAAAGATCAGTGAGTGTTATGAACAGATGTTCAAATAATTAACTGTAACACACTAAGTGTATTTTGGAGTCCAAGCTAGTCACAGCATGATGTCCTGGCTTGCAAGAACAGTAGTTCTCAATCTGTGGTTTGTGTACCACCTGTAGTACAGCCCCAGGTGGTCTTTCCTAACAATGCAAATGAATGAAACATTTTAGATAATTTGTATAACCTGGCAGGACTGGAACACCTGTGATTGACTGCCATCTCTTTACTTTGCATCTTCCTTTCTTTCTTCTCCCTTTCCACCTCTCTTTCAGAGATGGATTGATCAGTAAGGATGAGATGATAGCGTATTTCCTTCGGGCTAACCCACTGCAGTGTAAGATGGGTCCAGGTTTCATCCACAACTTCCAGGAGATGACATACCTGAAGCCCACCTTCTGTGAACATTGTGCTGGATTTGTGTGTATCTCTAAGATTCTGTCACTGCACGTTTCATGCCTCCTTAATTACACTCCTGTTATTGAAAGTTTGCAGACATTACAATTAAACTGACTGGACTGCCTTGAGCCAGTTAATGGGATATTACTCGCTGTTGTACCTGTTGAACTCTTGTTCTCATTGTTACCAGTAATTCTGGTAAAAATTGTAATGATGTGCAATGTGCACAATATGAACAGTATGTATTCTACAACATGTAACTTTCTGAGATCTGCCGGCTCTTGAGCGGGGTAGAACCTCACTGTGAGGTCACATTCTCACAGATTTAACAGGCATAACCACATGGAAATGTTGTGATCATTGTATCTTTGTGGCTTTAGAAAAATGCGTCCATGCGCTTCTTTTTCTAATGTTATTTTTTTTGTATTTTCTGTACCATTCCCCTTCCTCTCATTCCTGCAGCTCTGGGGAATCATCAAACAGGGCTACAAGTGCAAAGGTATTGTTTCATAGCATTCTTCTTTAAAGACCAATGAACATGGTTTTATTGCTTTATTGTCAATATTGCCATTATAAAATACAGGATTGCACAATGAAATGCAGTTGTAGCCCCCTATACAATACAAAAATGTATAAACACAAATTCAAATATTTTAAATTAGAATAGAATATAACAATAAAATAAACAATACAGTAAATAAATAAACCACATTTATATACACTCATATAGAAACAAAAAATGTAATATGCAAGTTGTAATGAGTGTAGTGCAAAGGTTCAAAGGTTCCTATGGTAATGTAGGAGAAACACTACTTTAATAAACACTTGTAGTCAGGGTACCACCCTATTAATAACAGGGAAATTAGGAGGAGGAGAGGAGGAGAGGAGGAGTAGAGGTGAGGAGGAGTAGAGGTGAGGAGATGACACGGTGAGCGTTTGTGTAATCTCGTGAGACTTGGTGCAATTCAAACATGGCAGCGCGCAGCTAAACAAACAATTCATTAAACAAACAATCCGCCAATTTTAAGCGAATTAACAAATAAGAGCAGTCAAATCGCACTGGAGGACCTCGAGGACGAGTGTTTGGAGGACCTTGAAGTTTATATTGACCAGTGTTTTCATCGAGTGGTCATGGGGAAATCAAAAAGAAACCGCACTGAAGACTCACCTGGAGCATCACCTGGAGCAGTCTCCTCGCAAGGTGCAGATTTTACAGAGATTCTGGATTCAATAGACAAGAAATTGTCCAGCTTTGATGCCCGATTATCTCTTGTGGAAGTACTTCACAAAGAGTTTCAGGCTCTGCGGGAATCCCTGGAGTTCAGCCAGAAACAGGTGGTTGAGCTCGCGGCAGAAAACAAGGTCCTCAAAGGTTCGGTTAAATCCCTCACGGAGGGAATGACGCGGCTCTCGGCAGACAATAAAAACATTAGAGAAGCAATCATCGATCTCCAGGCTCGTAGTATGCGGGATAATCTGGTCATTTCGGGTATCCCGGAGCAGGCGGATGAAACCCCAGAGGAGACCGTTAAAAGCTTCATCCAAAATCAACTGAAGCTCCCGGCCGAGACCGTAAAGAACATCAGCTTCCACCGGGTGCACCGCCTGGGAGGACGGCGACAGGAGAACCAGAGGCCCAGGCCCATCGTCGCGAAGTTTGAACACTTCAAGCAGAAGGAACTGGTTAAAGGCCGCGGCAGGGAGCTGAGAGGGACCAACTTCAGCGTTAACGACCAGTTTCCCCGGGAGATCCTGGACCGACGCCGAGTCCTGTTCCCGATAAGAAAGAAGCTTATTGGAGAAGGATCACGGGCTGTCATCGCTGTGGATAAACTTTACGTCGATGGCCAGCTGTACCGCGACCGAGACACCACTCCTTGGCTCTACTAAGAACCAAGTCCAGCAACAGGTGAACTGTATCACTATGCGATCATTTTTTCCCCTATCAGTTAATTACTCCGTGACATATGGCAAGTTAATAGTTATAAAATACAGTGCACGTCTCAACAGCCTATACTGTGGTTATCTGACTAGTCTGTCCGATAATGTTTTGTGTATTTTCCCCTGTTTTTGTTTCACTGTTTCTTTCTTTTGTTAATGTTGCTCTTCCTCCGCCGTTTACACATCGATCAGCTGCGCAATTTTCATACTGTTTAATTCACAAACAGTCGGGCACACCGCTAGCACACACACGCAGGCGCATACAACATGAACACATAGACACACACATACAGGCGCATACAACACACACAATAATACAACACGCACACTGCACACACTAGCCTACACCACATCCCTTAGTTGAATGATGACCTCACTTATAATCACCTCTTGGAATGTACGCGGACTTGGTTCAAGGGAAAAGAGATTAAAAATTTTTAACCATCTAAATAATCTGCAAGCAGACATTGTCCTACTACAGGAGACTCATTTACCCAAGACAGCAGATAAACTAACCTCACCACAGTTTCCTCACTCGTACTCAGCCTGTTATAACTCAAAACAAAGGGGTGTCACCATTATGATAAATAGAAAAACACACTTCAATCATAATAACACTACTATTGATCCAGAGGGTCGATTCATTATTGTTAACATTTCGATTCAAAATACTCCTTTATGCATTGCTAACATCTATGGCCCAAATGTTGACGACCCCTCCTTTTTTCATGCTTTCTTCAACTCACTCTCTGCTCACTCAGACACAGCTCTTATATTAGGAGGGGACTTCAACATGGTATGTAATCCAGCAGTTGACAGGCTCAGTACGGCAGGTGGTCACCGTATTTGGAAATCAACAGACATCCTTAAACAATACATGAGCGATTTTGGTCTTTGTGATGTTTGGCGTTCTCACCACCCCACTCTTAGAGAATATACCTTCTTTTCACCAGTCCACCACTCATTTTCTCGCCTTGACTATTTTTTGGTTAGCAGCTCAATTATGACAGACATTTCCAACACTCAGATTCACCCTATCACTATCAGTGATCATGCACCGGTTTCTATCACTCTTACTAAAAAAAGGGTCACACAGCCAACTAGAAGTTGGAGATTTAACGCATCATTGCTTAAAGACCTAGATTTTATAAATTACTTCAAAAAGGAGTGGGCAATATATATGGAAACTAATGACCTGCCAGGAACCTCGCCATGTCTTCTTTGGGAGGCAGCAAAAGCAGTCATGAGAGGTAAAATAATCTCCTATTCATCATACAAAAAAAAGAAAGAGAGATCTTGTGAATTACAGCTAGAACAAAAAATAAAAACATTAGAAACTACCCTTGCTGCCTCCCCACAGGAACACATGCTGAATGATCTGAGAAAATCAAAACTTGAATTAAATGAAATTATTAATAAAAAGACCCAATTTCAGTTGCAAAGACTACGCTTGGAGAACTTTGAACATGGCAATAGATCCGGCAGATTCTTAGCCAGCCAATTGAAATTGAATAAAGAAAAAATAACTATTTCTTCCTTAAAGGACTCAGCTGGGAATCTGACTTATAACCCAGAAGAAATCAACAATGCATTCAGAGATTATTATAAAAACTTATATACATCACAAATTGACCCATCTAGCTCTAACATCGATGCATTTCTGAACAATATAGATTTGCCAAGTTAGATGATGAACAGATCAGGGCTCTGGATTCACCTGTTTCAATGGCTGAACTCCAGGAAGCTCTCTTACATATGCCGAATAATAAAGCCCCTGGGCCAGATGGTTTTCCCGCTGAACTCTATAAGGAATTCTGGGAAATACTTGCGCCCACATTCTATAGGATGGTTATGCAAATTAGGGGTACTTGCATGTTGCCTCCAACAATGAATTCTGCTAATATCAGCCTGCTCCTTAAACCAGACAAAGACCCCACACTCCCGTCCAGTTATCGCCCAATATCACTTATTAACGCAGATCTTAAAATCATCTGCAAAACCCTAGCAAGAAGGCTAGAGAAGGTCACTCCTGGTATAATACACTCTGACCAAACAGGATTTATTAAGGGTAGGCACTCCACCAACAATACACGCAGGCTACTTAACGTAATAGACTATGCCACTATTCATAACCTGGAAACTATAGTTGTTTCTTTAGATGCAGAGAAAGCATTTGACAGAGTAAATTGGAAATTTCTATTCGCTACTTTATATAAATTTGGATTTGGAAACTCTTTCATAGATTGGATTAAAATCTTATACAGTTCCCCAAGAGCTTCTGTCAAAACAAATGATCATACTTCTCCATGCTTTAGTCTCCAGAGGGGTACCAGGCAGGGTTGCCCACTCTCTCCCTCGCTATTTGCTATTTTTATAGAACCACTAGCAGCTGCGATCAGACAAAATAATAATATTAAAGGAATTCAAACAGAAAATATACACCATAAGATAAGCCTTTATGCAGATGATGTATTACTTTTCCTCCTAAACTCACAAACTTCTCTTTCTGAGACAATCACACTTATAGATAAATTCTCATCCATCTCAGACTACTCCATTAACTGGAGTAAATCCATAGTTTTACCTGTAAAGTGTGATTTCCAGAGTATATCTACCACACCGCTAAAGTCTGGGAATATTAAATATCTGGGTGTCAATATTTCTCCAGGCTGTCAGAACTGACATGGCTAAACTACACGCCTTTACTTAAATCTATAGAGGATGACCTTGTACGGTGGACATCATTACCTATATCACTCATGGGAAGAGTCTCCACCATAAAAATGATGGTCCTACCTAAAATCAATTATCTGTTTTCAATGTTACCCACCAAACCCTCTGCTGTCTGGTTTAAATCACTGGACTCAAACATCTCAAAATTTTTGTGGAAAAATAAACCCCCACGAATCAGTCTAAAAACTATGCAAAAAGCAAAAGACTGTGGTGGTTTAGAACTGCCAAATTTTTATCATTACTTCCTGTCTAATAGACTACAATATATCTCAAAATGGATCAATCAGAGCCCCCTGGACCACTCATGGATGGACATAGAACAAACCTTCTGTAATGAAATTAAAATTTCCGATATGCCATTCATCAGTTCCAGCATCAAACGTCATACCTGCTTTAAAAGCATTAACATAAGCACTTCCTTGGCAGCTTGGTGGGAACTTCTCAAAATATCTGGGTCTTCACCTATCCCATGCAGATTTACCCCAATCTGGAATAATCCTGACATCCTGCAAAATAAGAAAACACTAAATTCCCCACTGTGGTATGACAAAGGGATAAGACATCTAGAGCATGTAATGCAAGGCAGTAACTTTATTCCATTCCAGGATCTAGTGGCACAATATGGAATTAGCCATAATAGATTTCTGGAATTTCAACAGTTTAAATCCATAATTCAGGCTAGATTTAAGGATAAAATAATGGACTTAGATTTACCTCCAATGATAACAGACTTTCTTAAACTCTCGCCTCCAAAACTGTTATCAAAAGTATACATGTTACTGTTAAAAACAGATAGTTCAATCTCTCTCCCATTCTTAAAATGGG